AGCACGCAGGACTGAGTGTTCGCAGGCGCAGCGGGCTGGGCTGCTGACTGGGCCTGCTCTGTGGAACATCAGCTGCGCTCTCCACCTCCCCCCCCCCCCGTTATCCCTCCCCCCCCCCCCACCCCCTGCCGCAGCCCCTAGTTCGTCTTCTGGCCCCACTGAACCTGCTCACTACGTGCCTGCTGGACACTAAGGCACTCCCCTGGGCGGGCAGCAGGCAGGGGCAGACCTGGTGACTGGGCCCCGGGCAGTGTTCCTTCCTCAGCACAGAGGAGCTGGTCCGAGCCCTGAGGACCCACGTGGAGGATCAGCACAAGCACACCGAGCTAGAGGAAAACGCTTTTGAGAAAATTCTTTTCTCCCAAATACCCAGCTCCTTGGAGCTACAGAAGAAACAAAGGCTTTTTTAAAAAATGCTTTTCTGGGGCTGGAGTGATAGCACAGCGGATAGGGCGTTTGCCTTGCACGCGGCCGACCCGGGTTCAATTCCCAGCATCCCATATGGTCCCCTGAGCACCGCCAGGAGTAATTCCTGAGTGCATGAGCCAGGAGTAACCCCTGTGCATTGCCAGGTGTGACCCAAAAAACAACAACAACAAAAAAGTGCTTTTCCTTTATGAAGGTATGGGCTCAACGCCTGCTTGACAAGTTCGAGGCTTTGAGTTTGATCCCTGGGTCTGCCCACATGTGCCAAGCATGGCCCCAACGGCTTTGCTACTTGGACTCCTGGTGCTGCGACAAAGTGTGTGATCTCCAGTCCAATGCAGGTGGGTTGCCGAAGTCTTGCAACAAAAGCACATGACCCCCAGAGAGCACCACCTCTAAGAGAGGAGCGAGCACTGGAGCCAGGAGCATGGCTCCCGTAACCCACAGCAAGCACTGCAGCCAAACGTGCGTGAGCAACAGGACAAGCCCCATGAGCAGGGACCGCGACTCAGGGTGGGCGATCCCTGCAGCATCCCCAGAAAACAGCTTCTGATTTATTGAGGTGATTTGAAAACATGGCCAAAGAAATCCTGGGAAGCCACACCACTCTCCCAGCTCTTATTTGGCGTGGAATTTTCTGCACTTGGTCCGCTCTAAGAGGCTCTTAGGATGAAGATCTCATTTTTCCTTTTCTTTCTTTCTTACTTTCTTGTCTTTTCTGGTTTTGAGACCACACCTGGCGCTGGCCGGGGGTCACTTCTGGCTCTGCACTCAGGAATCACTCCTGGTGGTTCCCAGGGGACGTTATGGGAGTACCAGGGATTGAAATGGGTTGGCTGCATGCAAGGAAGGCACCCTATCTGCTGTCCTATGGCTCTCACCCCAGATCTTTTCATTTTTCTTGAGTTGAAGCAGAAATCAGAACTATCTCAGGAGGGTGGGAGAAGTATCTCAACATGCTTAGCAGGCAGGACTCCCCAGGTTCAGTCCTCAGCACCATCAGGAGCAACCCCTGAGCACAGAGCTGGGAGTAGCCCCCTAGCACTGCTGGGTAGAACCCCCAAACAAATAGACAAGAATATTTAAGGAAAAATTTGGGCCATAAAGATAGTATAGCAGGGAAGACACTTCCCTTGCATTTTCAACCCAGGTTTGATCCCAGGACCCCACAGGGTCCTCCAAGTCCAGCCAGGAGTGATTCCTGAGCTCAGCACGGAGCCAGAGCTACCCCCAAGTGTGGGCCAAAAATAAAGCCAAAGAATATTAAAGGAAAAATAAGAAGCACTTTACTATGTACTATCACTATCCTATTTGAGGGAAACACCAATAACCAGCCCCACCCAGGCTTCTGCACAGCTGAGAAGGGTCGGAGGAAGGTGACACCTCAGGCAAGCCTACGGGAAGAGGCACCTCCAGGCTAGGCCAGCACGTTAGCCCCCAAGTTTCTGGCAGTGAGTTCAAACATTTTACAGAGTAGGTCCCAGAAACTTCTCTCCCCTCCCCAGCCACCTGGCTCCACCCCCTACTTCATTCATTCAACACTTGCTCATTCTCTACCAGGTACTTTGTGCTCCGGACTGAGACCAGGAGCCAGAAATAGGTCTGGGGGGTTAGGGGGTAGGACTGTGGCTTTGATCAGCAACTCCCATTCTCTGCCCTGCCCGTGATGCTCTGGAATCCCCTCCCTTCCAGTCTCTTCTGCTTCCTCAGACCTTATTTTTTCCATGTCACAGACAGTCCTTGCAACACAGTATTCAAGACTGCTTCGAGGAGGAGGAGGAGGAGGAGGAGGAGGAGGAGGAGGAGGAGGAGGAGGAGGAGGAGGAGGCCTCGTTCCCGCTGCTCAGGAGGAGGAGGAGGAGGAGGAGGAGGAGGAGGAGGAGGAGGAGGAGGAGGAGGAGGAGTCCTCGTTCCCGCTGCTCCGGAACGCTACGAGGAGGAGGAGGAGGAGGAGGAGGAGGAGGAGGAGGAGGAGGAGGAGGAAGAAAAGGAGGAAGAGGAGAAAGCAACTAGGCCCAGCCCTGTTCTTGTAGCCTGGCATCCAGGAAGATGGACAGAGAGGGGAAGGTGGGGAACTGGAGGTGGCCTTTGAGGAGCTGCTCTATCCCTGGTGGATTCACGGTCTCTCCCTCACTTCAGGAGGTGGGCAGGACCCTCTGGGTTCCTCAGTTGAAAGCTTTAAGATGCAGGATGGGGGAATCGTTGGAGCCCGGGTCCCTGTGATGGCTGTGGGGCAGGGGGAGAGCCAGGGCATGTGGCGTGGCCTGGGGAAGTCCCCCATCACCATCCCACACCGATGCTGTGGCTCCAGGTGCTGATTCCCTCCCTGCCATGGGGGGGGGGGGGGGCGCTGCTGTGCCCTTCTCAGAAGCTCTAGAAAGGCAGGCAGGGAGACTGAGCCCAGGGGCGGGAGAGCTAGTACAGTGGAGAAGTGCTCGCTCTGCAGGTACCCGACCTTGGTTTCCTTTCTGGTACCCCATTGGGTTCCCTCAGGCCCCACCAGCAGTGATCCCTGAGCACAGAGCCAGGAGTCAGCCCAAGCACTGCTGGGTGTGTCGCCCCAAACCAAAAGAACGAAAGAAATGAGCCCCAGACTCGGGCTGCTTCTGAAGTCGAGCTCTGAGTTGTGACAAGGCGCAGTTTCCTGTAGGGTAGGACTGAGATACAGGGCCACACCCAGCCGCCGGCAGCCAGGCGGAACCCCCGGAGCATGTCAGCAAGCCAGGGCCCCCTCTCCACCCCCGCCACCTCCTCCTGTGAGCACAGCAGGCCTGCGCCCTGAGCCTGGGGACCAGGACTGATGGGCCACAGGTCATGGCAGCTGTCACTAAGGCAGGTCAGAATGAGGCAGGAATGGCTCTTGCTGGGAGGGACTCTCGGACACAGACCACAGACAGACGCTGGGGCAACGCAGCCGCAGGGGCAAGAACTGGGTCTCTGGTGTTGAAATATTGAATGAAATCAGCTAATGTGAACAACCTTATGAAATTAAAATTTAAAAATTATAAAAAAATAAAAATAAAAGAACTGGGTCTCTGACCCAGGAGGCTCAGTGGGAGCCCAACCTAGAGCAGAACACATGGAGTGGCTGGGCAGGTCCACACCACCCTCACTGTTCGACAGTCTAGGCTCCTGGAAGGCCTGGGCCCTGGGTGCCACGTGCAAGCAGCCTGGGGCTCAGTCCCCAAGCAAGGCTGCCAACGCAAACAATGCAAACAACTGACAGCCAGTGCTCTGGAGGGGAGAGGCCAGGGGCCAGACCAGATGCCCAGGATGGGTCCCACAGCCTGCTGTGGTCTCAGGGTTACTTGGCAATCCTGAGAAATTCTGGGACTCCATGGGTAGCTGATGGGCGAGGGGTGCTGGGACCCCGGGGACTTGCCTTCAGCCTTAAGAGAGGATGAACAACTGCAGGTAAAACCAGGTGGACATAGTGCTGGAGCAATAGCACAGCGGGTAGGGAGTTTGCCTTGCACGCAGCCAACATGGCTGACCCAGGTTCGATTCCCAGCATCCCATATGGTCCCCCGAGCACCGCCAGGAGTAATTTCTGAGTGCATGAGCCAGGAGTAACCCCTAAGCATCACCAGGTGTGACCCAAAAAGCAAAAAAAAAAAAAAACAGGTGGACATAGGAGAGGGGCTCATATGGACTCCCCCCTTCTAAACGGGCGAAACTTTAAAATGCCCTGCTGAAACCTGCTTCTTAGTCCCATGTGGACTTTACTTCTGCTGTAAGCCAGGTTCTCCAGAACCAGCCCTGTCTGTCCACAGGGCCCAACTCCCTAGATCATACCAGCCTTCTATAGAAGGGAATGCCTCAACTTCCTCAAGCTCCCATTATGCTCTGACCACAGGGCCTTTGCATTTGCGGTTCTGTCTGCCAGGAATTTCTCCCCGTCCTGGGTATCTGGTCTGGCCCCTGGCCTCTCCCCTCCAGAGAACTGGCCGTCAGTCCTGTGGGAGCCAGGGCCAGAGCCTCTGACCAGATACCAGGTTCAGATGCTGCCCCTAAGCTGGGTGGGGTCATGGGGAGGAAGGGGCAGGCTCCAGACAGAGAGGTGCCTGGAGAGGGCCCCCCCAGAGGACAGGTCGTGAGTGTGTGTGTGAGAGTCCCCACCACGGTTGTGTGTGTGTGTGTTTGCACACACGTGTGTGATGACCTACACTATCAACACCCGCTCAAAGGTTCTCGCCCACAGGTGGCAAGCGGCAGGTCCACGTGGCCTCTCCCCTTGGATGAGGTCCACGTGGCCCCTCCCCCTGGACGTCTGGCCGGCCGCCTGGGCCTCCTGGGCGGTCGCCCAGAGAAAGGCCGGGGACCAGACTTCCTTCTCCCTGGGTCTCAAGCCTTCTTGGGGTTTGCACTCTCTGCGGGCCGTCCCGCCCAAATCAGGGGGCCTACCCGGGGAGTCCCCGCCTACCAGAGGGCGTACCCGGAGAGTCCCCGCCCATACTGGGGCGTGTCCCGGATATCCACGCCCATATATGGGCGTGTCCCGTCGAGCCGCGCCCCGCCCCGCCCCCGACGGCCCCAGCTCGGCAGAGCCGAGCCGGCGCGGCCGAGCGCGCAGCATGCCCCGCAGGGTGACGACCGAGGGTCGCGCGGGGGTCACCACGGCCTCCCCGGCCAACCACACAGGTGAGGTCCAGGGCCGCGGCGCTCTCGGACGGCGCGCACGGACGGGCAGCGGGGCTCGCGTTCCGGGGCGGCGGGTACTCCGGGACCCTCCCGTCCCTTGCAGCGCACGCCCCGTGGGGTCGCGGCCAGGCCAGGTGCTTGCCTGCAGCTGCGGCCCGGGGAGGAGGGGGGGCTCTGTTGAGTTCCCTCCGACTTTGAGAGTGGCCGGAAGGGTTCGGCCACACGTGCTGGGGGGTGCGAATGCGACTCACGAAGCCTTCGGGGAACAGAACCGAGCCCCCAATGCCCTTGCAGCAGCCCCCACCCCAGGCTCGTTTTTAGGGGGGGGTCGCCCTCCGCTGAGTGGAGCATTCGGCACACGTGTTGTCCCAGGACAGGTGCTGGCGTGGCAGCACCAAGTGTGGAAACTGGTTGCTCTGCCCAGATGAAAAGGGTGTTCCCTGCGTCCTCCTGCAGCTGCGGGAGTGGGGACCCGGAATTGCCCCTCAGCAGAGGCGATATGACCCTACTGCTGGTGTGAGTTTATCTCTTTTTCCTCCCGTGGGCAGGCTGAGGCTCCAGGCTCGTGTGGGGGGACAGTGCATTTCGGGCCAGGAGGTGGAGCAAAAGCGGGGGACTTTGGAGGTCAGCTGGGGAGGGAGAGAGCAGAAGGCTATTCTGAGGACTCTTCCTCGAGCTGGAAGAGTTGCTCCTGACACAGATGTCAGCCCTGGGGCGCTAGCCCCTCGAGCCCCTTCCAGGACCCCCCCTCTTCTGATCTGCAGTGGGTACCCCTGGTCAGTGCCTCGGTTTTCTTTTGTGCTGAGTGGATGGTATGCTGCAATGTGGTGTCCGTTTTCCAGGAATTTGGAATGGGGGTTCCCCGTGATCTCCCCAGAGCAGGCACGGAGTTCCCCCTAGCCAGGCTGGGCATTGCCATCCAGGCCCTTCCCTCCTCTCGCTGGCACTGCTTTGCAGGGGCTTCCATGGCTAGGAGGGTCTGGATTCCAACCTTGCAGTGCCTGCAACCCACTGCTCGGCCCTGCCCCCACAGCCATGCCGGCTTGCCCTGATGTAGAAGATTGTCCGGGAACAAGGCCCTTCAGGAAGAGGGACTTGGGGTTCCAGCAGTCAGAGGGGCCCCTCCCTTGGAGGAAGGGCCTAGCAGTGGGGCAGCCTCAGCTCTGAGTGGGAGGCCTGGTCTGTGGCACCCACTAACCACACCGTCCCCATCACAGAGAGGTCACCCTTGGGAATGGGAACAGCCCACATGTCCCCAGGTCTGCAGGGGTGTGGACCGAACAGCTCCTGGCCAGAGGCTTCTGGATCTCCCTGGCTGGACCTGGGCCCAACCCCTGAGAGATTTGGGGACACACTTCCTAGTAGAGACAGAGGAGATGTTCAACTGTATGAGTGGCCTGTCTCAGGGTGGTTGGGAGGTCTGGCCTGCACATGGGGCCATGCAGCGGGGCTGCCCCAAAGCCCTCTGCTCGCCCCCTGCCCCTGAGAGATGCAGCCTGGACCAGTCCCCCAGAACACTTACGGATGCACCAGCAGTCGATTTTGAAGGACTTTTGGGGTGGGGGTTGCGCATTCAGGAACCTTTCACTGTTGCCACATTTCCCTCCCCATCCGCCCCGCCTCCACACTGAGTTATGGGCCTCGCCTAGGGTGGGTGGAACGCACATTTTCAGCAACAATCCTGGCACCCACTGGCAGAGAGGTTGTCAAGGGGGAGAACTCCGGGGTACATACTTGTCCCCCTTCCCAGACCTACATGAGATTCCTCCCTCAGGCTCCCTCTAACGTTGAGCAGAGCCTCAGCGATGAAGTGATTCCCTCATGGCCCAGGACCCCCCGGCCTGCCACCCTCCTGTAACCGGCTCCCCACTCCCCCACCTCTTGTCTCAGGAGGTCCTGGGGGCCAGGCTTGGAGGCCCATGGGCTCCAGAAGGCCAGCAGTGAGGGCAGGCCTGTGGTCCAAGGTTCCAGATAAAACATTAACAAGCCTGGATTGTTCTCACCACGGGGGATGGGCAGGCAGGGGATGGGCAGGTGGGGGTTGGGTGCGGGAGGGGGGGCATAGACTGGAGAAGGTGCTGCCCAGTACTGATAGACGGTGAAAGGGGGCACTTGAAAGGGGGCAGTACCGCAGTGCGGGGACCGAGGGGGCAGCGCTGGGGGTGTCCTCTCCTGGTGACAGGCTCAACTTGATACATTTGTTCCCTGGTCTGTAGGGTGTATCTTGTTTGCCTAAAATGCATTGCCTTTGTTTCTCCACTGTTTTTCCCTTTGTATAAGGTTGATTCCCCGTAATTTAAAAAAAAGGAGGAATACATAGTATTCAGGGGGGAAAGATAAAAGGAAGATAAAAGGGTGCTTTGTCGGTCCCCCTCCCTTGACCCCCAACCCCCATGGGCTCAGGAAATGCAAACTACAACTGCTACTAGGGACACGCTTAGGGGCTGGGCCAGGAAGGGGTCACCTAGGGATTTACCTTAGATGTCAAGTCTGGGGTGGGATGTGTGTGTGTGGGTGGGGGAGGGTGGTACTTGGGGGTCTTTAGACTGATAGTGGAGACTCAGCAGTGCCTGTGGGTCTCCAGTTTGGCGGGGCTCAGTGATGGATAGTGAGGGTCTCCAAGCTGAGGTTGGTGGTTCCGTAAAGAACACCAGAGGTCTTTAGCCTGAGGCTGCGGGGTGGGGGGGTGTCAGGAAGAGGTCCTGGGGTTCTTATGGCTGGTTTAGGCATTCCTGGGGGGTATTGGAGGTTTGCACTCGCCTGACCACTGTGGTCCATGCCTGCTGTCCATTGGTCAGGCTGTGGTTGATTCCTCAGAGCAATCTCCCCAGAGGGGTCGGGAAGTGGGGTACTGGGTAGTGGGGGGGGGTTGGACTTCCAGCCTGGCCCTGGGCACCTTCCAGCCCAGTACTGGCAGCCGAGGCCATTGGAGGCCCAGCCTGTATACATAGGGGATGAAGGGTCAGTCGGCCTCAGTTTCCTGATCTGGAAAGGAGCACCAGCCAAGAGAAGTGTGTGGAAGGTAGGAAGCCCCTCCCTGGCACTTTCTGCCCCTGCCCTGAGCACTTCCTGGAGTCTCCTGGGGCCTTTCAGCCCTTCCATTCTCCTGGGGGTACAGGCCATCTGGGTTTGCAGGCGGGACTCTGAGTGAGCAAGCTGAGGGGGGGGTCAGGCCTGGGAAGGGGTATTTACCCAAGGGTTGCACCTGCAGAGGGGGCTGAGAGCTGTGCCCCCTCCCCCCAGCAAAGCAGCTACTGCTTGCCCCCCTTTTACCTCCCACTGACACCCGAACCCAGACAGACCCCAGGAGACGAGCAGTGGAGACCCTGAGGGGCAGAGGCTGTGGAAGATGAAGCTCCCCCAGACCTCCCATCTTCCCATCTGAGGGGCCCATCAAACCATACCCTGCAGCTTAGGGGCTATGATTAGGGGCTTAGGGGCTATGCCCATGAGGGGCTACAGCCCCCCCCTCCCCTTGGCGCCACTCCAGCTGCGTGCCCACCTGTGCCCATGTCCCTGAGCTCCGGAAGCAAATCCTGAGGCCACTTCCCACCTCAGGTGAAGGCCACCCTGGGGGCAGGGCTCAGGAACTACCAAGCCCCCGTGTTCTCTCCTTGGTTGGAGGACTCCTGGTTAGGCAGGCTTCTCAGGGACGCTCCGTTCTGCCCGGCAGATAGATACAAGGGGAGGCGGCCACGAGGCCGGTGCAGTGTCATCACAGATGGGCCCCTCGAGCGGAACCCGCAGCAGCACAGGATGTGGCGGGGACAGGGCGCCTTCCCACCTGCTGTGCACACACGGGGCGCCTGCTGGGCCCGCAGAGGCTCCCCTGACTGCAGCCTTGACACTGGGACGCTTCTGCCTCAGCTGTGTCCCTCGGGGCGAACTTGTCTGTTCTGTGTACGGGGCTGGGTGGGCGCCTGCAGGACCAGCAGTGGGCAGACAGGTGGGCAGTCCAGTCTGCTCACTAGCAACCTGCCAGGCTCTCTCCTGGCATCTGATCTGTTCTCAGGCGTGCCGCAGAGTGGGTAGAATTTTTGATGGGCATCCTCGCTGCCCGCAGACCCCCTGCCTTCCATCCACTCTCAAGCCGCCTCTGTTCCCATTCCTGGAAGGTCTCATGGCGTCTTTAAAGGACACACCTCCAACGGTCCCTTCCTGCTCTTCTGGGACTCTGGCAGGCTGTGGGTTGGTACCGGTTGGATGGCTGCGGGCACCCCTGCTGACTCCTGGTGTGGCCTTTCCACGGGGCACTTGGGCCCAGGGAGAGAGAAGGTGCCCTGAGCAGGGAAGAATGGAGAAGTCGCAGCTCTAAATTGAGGACCGGGAAGTGCCGCTGCCTGGCAACCCTGGGGAGGGGCCCACGTGGCTGGCCCGTGGGTGGCTGCCGTGGCTGCCATGGTGGGTCTGCCCATCCCAGAAGCCCTGCCACTCCCTGTCACCGGACAACCCAGGACAGCAGGGGGTCAGGCAGAGGAGCTTGGAAAAGACCAGACATTCTGCATTCTTGGGGGCGGGGTGAGGAGTGCTGGCCAAAGCGCTTTCCTGTCCATTCATTCACTCATTCGTTATTCCCTTCATTCACTGAATGCATTCATTCACTCATTCAATTCATTCACTCCCTTATTCATCGTTGGCGTCTATGGAGACAGTGTGGGGACTGATCGAAGCACCCAGAATCTGACTGACTTCTCCTGCACCACTTAGTACTAGTGGCCCAAGGCCGCGGGGTAAGGCAAGCATGGGAGAAGTGTCCGGGAAAGCCAGGGGGGTGCAGGGGCTGTGCATTCTCCAGTGTCCAGAGTCCTGGAGGCTGTGCACCCCCCCCCCCAACCCTCTCCTTTTCCACCAATCTGGACCACTAGTCTTTCATCCCAATCAAGCTAAGAGGCCAAAAACACTCTCTTAGACTTAAAATCTGCATTTCTTTGATTGACACAATTGATACAATTGATTTGGGTGGGGGGGAAGGTTGGGCCCCACCGGAGGTGCTCAGGGCT